GGGGGGGGGGGATGTGTCATGTGTGTGCATGTATAGATAGAGAGGGGGGAAGTAAACCTACGGAAAAATGAAAAATTGAGGAACACAATGGTAACCACGGTATGCACATGTGCATACAAGTAACTGAAGTTGTTTCTTTGTTTTTATGCAAGTGTGCATGGTATGCACCGGACAAATTGCTTATACATTATTTGTATTAGTATGTGCATACTGTCCAGATGAACGGTTAACAAAGTATTTCTCAGTTTTTTATTGTTTTACGGTTTTTACTTACACCTGACCCTCTCTCTATATAATTCAAAACCGTCATTTGGTTCGTGAAAATATATAAAAGTTATTCGATACATGACAGAAACGTTCGAAATAACACGAAGAAATAAAGTTTAAAACCGAAATTTTCACAAAGCTATAACTTGCACATATCATACATCGAAATCAATCTTACTCATGGTCACGATCCGTTCACAAATCAGGATCAAATCGGTGTTGTAACTTCATCAGTGGATTCGAAACCGACCCAGTTGATCAAAGAGAACAGAAACTCCCTGAAGCTGACTTTACCATCCTTGTTCCAGTCCATTTCTTCTGCATATATTCACAAAAAGAAACTCAAAAGTTTGAATCTTTTTCGGTCATTTTGATTCAAGAAAACGTTTATTAGTTAAAACAAGCGGATTACTGAATCGGGTCTTGGTGATATGGGTCGGCGATTTCTCCATGGGAAAGTCTTCGTTCATCGCCTTGATCATGTCTTTCTTGTTCAGCTTTCCATTGCCATTTTTATCAAGAAACAAGAAGGCTTCAATCATTGTATCGAATGTTGCTTTCAGCTCCGGAGAACCCATCGTTGATGTCTGAAACAAGATTTCTTTTAGTCGGGTTTTACCATAACATCTCAGGGCAACCGTACTAGATATTCTCCGTTTTGTCTACACTTGGACTGAGGGTTTTAAAAAGCGTATGATAAATGAGGTATTCAGTTCCTTATAAGGCAACTTTTGTTCCTCTCCCCAACTCATGTGGGATCTTACAATCCACCCCCTTGGGAGCCCAGCGTCCTCACTGGCACACTAGTCCGGTTCCCAGCTCTGATACCATTTGTAAAATCCCAAGTTAATCATACCATATATTGCCCGCTTTGTCCACACACCTGGACTCATGGTTCTAATTGCAAGATCCCACATTGGTTGGTGAGGGGAACGAATGTTGCCTTATAAGGGACCGGATACCTTCTTTATCAGACGCGTTCTAAAACCATAAGTCCAGGTGTGGACAAAGCGACAATATTTGGTAGGATGTTATATTTATTCACGATGATATCAAGAAACCAATGATGTCGAAGAAGAAAATGGCGGTTTTTACAGCATTGGACGAGGATGATGGACCGGCGAGAAGATGAATGAGGCACAAAAGAACAATAAACTCGTTCAATTGTATCCCGTTACTCCCATCCATATCACACGACTCGAAAAGATCTTTAATTTCCTGCTCGGTACAATGAAATTGCAGCTTTTGCAAGCATCTTTTTAGCTCCTCGTTATCGATGGTTCCATTTGAATCTTCATCTGCGAATAACAAAGCAACTTCAGAACACTCGAAAGAAAGGAAAATTGACATAAATAGCCAAAGTTGAAATAGGATTTCACTTTTTAGCCAAAGTGAAGTTTTATAAAACTTACCGTATAGTTCAAAAACGCCTCGAATCTCCTTTAATCCTTCTTTGAATCGAGGGAACCTCAAGATTATGCTATTGATAGATCTAAAACTGGTGCTTCCTTGACTGCTACTGTTCTTGACCTCCATCATTTTTCTCTCAAGTTTACTGTCCAACCGTTCATAGCGATTTGGCGAATTGCAACAGCATAATATTCCTCCGACTTTGTTGGATAACGATTTGAAAGAAGAGCATGTGTGATACGTACCTTCAAGAAACAGATTCATACACCACGAATATATGAGATCTTTTTTGGCACTAGATTGACATTTTCATTTCGGGTTTTCTGTTCGGTCGAAAGCTAAGAAAGCAATCTTTAGTTAATGGTTTTCAAGCAGAGATCTGTGAACCAAAATGGCCAAATTCAAGATTTCAAGAATGAAATCTAGAAAAACAATTTAGAACTAGAATTTACAACCGGTTATGATGAGATTGAACAAGGGGGATATAAGATCAAATGGGCATTTTATCGAGCATTCAGATCATATATGCAATGAGCATCTCAGTCAGACAAAAGATCAAACACCTGGTGGGCATCCATCCATACTTGATAACTTTTAGGTTCCAAGATTGAAAATTCGTGAACAGTTAGTAACGAACGAAACCCAATTAAGACTAAAAGTGGGAATAATTAAACGAAAGAGAATCTAGTTTTTTGAAAAAGAAGAAACTTACCCATTGAAGCTTTGATTCTTTCAAGAAAGTGATAACTGGGAACTGCTAAAATAGTTTAGGGCAAGAATGGCATACATGAAAGAGAGAGAGTATTGATAGAAAGAAGAAAAAGGGAGAAAGATGAAAGGAACCTGGTTCTTGGAAAGTGAAATGACAATGGCGCTTGATACTTTTGAGTTAAATATTTGTTCCCTTTGAAGGTGGAAATCAATATGATAGGCAGAGATTAGAAAGGCCCCCACCAACAACACCAATTTAATCATTGTTCATCAAAAAGATATAATTTTTTGTAGAAATTTGCTTTACCCATTTCATTTTGTAGCTGGGATGTACAAAATGAAAAGAAAAAGAAGAAAAAGACAAACCCAATTGATTGAACTTGAAGATAATCCCAAGTTCTTCAAATCTTTGCTTCTTGTTTTGCAATACACATCACTAAGGGTTACAATTGATGGATGATTCCCAAATCCAACAAAAAGAAAATTCAAGAAAAATGATCAGAGAAAAGAAAGAAGAATCCATTTGTGAGATTGAATTTTGGCTGAATCTATCCAGACATCATCCATTCAGCTTGTCTGATACTGTTGTCTAATGGTAATGAGTCTCCACCATTACTGAACATAGCTCTCTGTCTCTTCTTAAGAACAGCAGCCTGTGAGCTTAATCCCACCGGAGAAACCGGGCTGCCGTTTGATGTCAAGCAGCTGTCAACGCTGGGTGCAATTCCGTTTTCGAGATACGCTGCGACTTCTGGAAGTGAAGGGATAGGGATGACAGATGGAGGACATTCATTGGCTACCTTGATCGCGAGTTCTGACAGCTCCTCCCTAGCCGCTTCTAGCCCAGCTGTTGCAACCGCTTGGTCGTTTAGAGCTTTACAAGCTTTTTCTAAGATCGATTGAAGATACTTTCCTTGTGCTTCTATTCGAAGCTGGAGTCGACGTTGAACCTGGAAATTATGTGGGCATTAGTTTAAAAAAACCACCTTTCGGATGGAAACACAATCTTGAATAAAAATGCAAACTTTCCAAACATCCCAGATATTGGGGAAATTGACCAAAATAGCCAATTCCATCAACCAAATTCACTTTTTAGACACTTTTCAGAGCCGCTTCCCAAAATAGTCTATCTTTATGTAGATGCTTTACGCATTTGCGTAAAGACTGATTTCTGGGGCGAAATAAAGAAAAATAAACCTTACGCATATGTGCAAGGAATCTTTATGCAGAAACTTGAATCTTTACGCATTTTTTTTCAAATTTCTGCATAAACTTTGACTAAAATTGGAATTCAATTGAAAAGGTGGCTAAAAGGTGAAGTTGATTGGGGAGATTGGCTACTTTCATCATTTCCATAAGTCGATGAACTACAAACTATTGCAATTTGAATGGAAATCTTGAAAATCTGAGACTTCCAGCAGAAGTAAGAAAGGCCACCTTAGGGTGCGTTTGACACTAGACAGGACAGAACAGAATAGAATAGGAATCATTGTTCCATGATTGGCAGAACTTTTATGTAGAACAGACAAGAACAGAGTGGAACAGGTGTGTTCCACCTCCACCCCATTGAATATGGTGGAACAGACCCATATTTTACCAATAAAACCTCAAAATAAAGCTTCATTCTCTTCTAAAAGATCAAATGCGCCTCCCATTTTACATTTGATTCATTCTTTACCTTTTATAAATAGGATGGAACAAGGTGGAACACAGCTATATTTTACCAATATAACCAAAACATAAAGCCTCATTCTCTTCTAAAACATCAAATATGCCTCCCACTTTACATTTTATTCATTCTTTAAACTTTATTTATTGTATTTTATGTTTTTTAAACTCACTTTACTCCCCTCAAACTAGTATTTTTATACATTTTCTATATTTTGATTAATAATAATAAAAATAAAATATAAAATTCATAAACTAAAAATAGGAAACTAAATAAACTTTTTATTTTGGTATCATTTTAATCGTCTTGACAAAAATCTTCTAATGATATATTTTGTTATAAAAATATTTATTTTATTATAATTTAATAGATTAATCAAAACATATAAAAGATATAAACAACTCATTAGGGGTAAATTGGTTTTTTTTATCCGTTCTGTTATGTCCAGTTCTATCTTACCAAACGTTGAACAGTTTTTTGTCCTGTCCTGTCCTGCCTGGATGCCAAACGCACCCTTAAAGAACTAACCTCTAGTTGTTCGTGCAATCTTCGTTGGACTTCCATTTGCACTCTCAAAGCTTCTGTAACCTGGAAGCCGCTGTTGGAAAAAACAATTAACCGAGGTCAGAAAAAGCGATCATATGATTCCGGGTGTTAAGAACTCGAGATTTAACATACTCGTTTGAATCTTGTGGCATCATTCTTGTTGATGATGTTGTGGATGAACCTGTGTCCTGGCTTTCAGCAATGCAAGATGCTATAAATCCATCCAATTATATGTTAGTAGTGAACTAAGAGCAAGATTTCGCAACTAGCTAGCTAATCATCTAGATCGAGAAACTAAACAAGCAACTTCCAAATTTACTGCCTAAGAGGAAGATTCAGCACAAACCCCCCAAAAATGGAAAATTGAGGAACCAAGAAACAACTTCAGGTACTTGTATGCACATGTGCATACCATCCAGATGAACAGTTACCAGGGTGTTCCTCAGATTTTCATTTTCTTGCAGTTTTCCCCTAAACCTAACCCTATTGCCTATTTTGTTTATTCATTATGAATTCAGGTCACAAGAACCTCATAAAACATCAAGATTACTCATTACGTCTGCATATGGTATGAATACACCGAATTTATTGTGTTTTGGAAGCTTATAAATGTTGAATACCGAGAAGGGTAAGGTCATTACCATCTTTAGAATTCTCTGTTAACTCTTTGCAAGATTGTTTCCCCAACCGGTATTTCTGCAAGAACGTATATGATATGAATTACAAAAAAGAATTATTCAAGAAGATCTTTCATCAAATATTCTTGGCTTTTCCAAAGCAGTCTATCTAGTTTTTATGGTAACTATGGGTGTCCGGGCCAGTTTGTGCATACCTCAACTAATCTCGTGGGGCCAAATCTTAGGGAAATTTACATAAATACCCAAATTTGATAGGTGGTTTAACTTTTTAGCCATTTTCTAACCCAAATTCACTTTTTAGTCAATCTTTACGCAGAAGGCTTATGCATATGCATAAGGATTGGTTTTCGGCAAAAAAAAGGAATACTAAGAATCCTTTGCAGAAAACTGAATCCTTAGGCAGAAAGTGGAATCGTAAGCGGAAATGAACAAACCTGAAGATGTGACTTGAGATGATAAAGGGTGAGGCCTTTTACCCCCATCGTCCTCATGATTGTCTTAGGAGTTGCTTCTGCAATCGTATAAGAACCATAATTACTATGGTGTAAAATTCTATATAATCCCATACCCAATATATAATTACAAAAAAAAACTATAGGATACCATCAAATACAAAATTGTATCATTATAAAACCATCAAACATTAGAACAAATGATATCAAGAACCATCAAACCAAGTCAACGTTCGATAACCACCATATACGTAGTAAAGTTTCAACCAAGCCATTTGGCATTACATCTATTAAGTACAAACCAAATCAAACGAACTTAGTATATCCCACTCGAAAGTAGGGTATGGAGGTGGAATGTAATGCAAATTTGTCGTCTAGCCCAAAGGGTAGAGTGGCTGATTCTATGAAGACCTCCCGGCTTGTGAAAATTGTGAGTATAAAGGTAAGAGTAAGCAGTAGAAAATGAAAAAAAAAAGTAACGAAAAACTAAAAATGCCAAAATGAAAGTTGAACGGGCTCCATTAAATTTATCTAGACTCCTTTAGCTTCTTCACAATATTTCTTGATCTAATACTATAATGTAGCTTATACAAGAAAGGTTTGATCGTCAAAACCATAAGCTATGTTGTTAATTGCGGTGCTTTATAACCGTCCATCTGTACGGTATGCATATGTGCATACAAGTAATTGAAGATGTTTCTCAGTTTTAATGCACATGTGCATATTGTACAGATAAACGGTTATTAGAGTGTTTCTCAGTTTTTCATTTTTTTACGGTTTTCCCTTGAACCTGCCCTACGTACATATATATAGGGTCGGGTTCAGGGGAAAACTGCAAAAAACGAAAAACTAAGAAACTCCCTAGTAACCGTTTATCTCGATGGTATGCACATGTTCATGCAATTAATATGTAAGTAACTTGTCCGATATGCACATATGCATAACATGCACACGTGCATAAAAACCAAGAAACAACTTCAATTACTTGTATGCACATGCCGTCCAGTTGAATGGTTACAAGGTGTTCCTCAGTTTTTCATTTTTTGGGGTTTCAAAAGAAAACCCCCCTCTCTCTCTATACACACACACACATATATATACAGCATAGACCAGAAGTTGCCTCAGAGGGTTGACCAAATAAGAACTGCACTGAATAGTTCCATTTCTACTATTTCTCCGAAACATGATCACATGTAAGACCTGTAATGACTGCTTCTATTCCAAAAAATGAAATACATCTTGATTCATATATCAACCCTAATGTTTTCTAAATGGAAAAATCGAAAACGATTCAATCATCAGTTCCCATCAAGTTCTCTATACTTCTAGTAATTACATTTGGAACTAATTATCAGACGCCACCATCAATTTATGATCCCAAATTAGGGTTCTTCAAGAGTAGTACCAAACTTCATTAAACCCTAGAAACGTAAACAAACATAATCGCAACTCAAATTACCCAAAAATGTATCGAAAAAGCTCAAACAATTCCAAAAACAATCAAAGAACTGAAAATCAGAAAAGCTTTAAATTGCAAATATAAAAAAGGACTAACTGTCAGGGCCACCAAGTTGAGTAACGGCATCGACAAATCTCTCATGGAGCTCCGCCGTCCACCGGAGTCTAGGCTTGGGATCGGTGGTCAACACCAAACACGGATCTCCGACGAAATTGGTCGGGTCTAGCTGACCCGAGAAGTCGCCATGGCCCATACTGGTTCCATCTAAAGAAATCGAGTGAATCCCAGAATACATTTGACCCGAAAAAACACAAAACCCAGTTGAAATTAGAGGTTCGTCTATGAATGGTTTGTGTTGGGGTGGCCTGAAATCGGGTCAGAAAGGAGACCCGGAAGCTGGAAAGAAAAGAAGAGCCCCGGAAAGCAAGAAAAGAAGAGCCCCGAAAAGCAAGAAAAGAAATTGACAGAGAGAAAGACAGCGATGTCGTCTTCTTCACTTGTCTTAATCTGTCCCTCTTGTTATCTGTACTCTTGCAAGATTATTAGTTTACTTGTTCGCCATTTTTGTTATTTAAGTGTGGAAAAGGCACTCATGGAGAACATGGTATGAGGAGTCCTGTCACTCTCCCCATTTCCTAACCAAATACTATAATATTGTTTTTTCCATAAAATAAGAGTAGATTATGAATTTGGTGTTTGTGGTATGGAACTGGTCCATGACCTTTGTATGTTACATAAAAGAAATGTATGGTTTGTATTTTGTTCTAGAATTGGTCTTCTGTTTTAACGGTGTTCATCGTCTTTGTTAATTATGAAGGCAAAATGGTTATTTTATTATTATTAATTTTATCTTCATCTACTCTTAAACCATAGGAACCAATTTACAGTACTTCTCAAACCATAGGAACCAAATTTAAATTCACGCATACAATAATCTTCAAGACTTTTTCGTAATATCATTTTATATTGAAACAACTATACTTTATCGTTATATAATTTATATTATTTGTACATTTAAACATATGTCTCAATATCAGCTGATAAAACCGATATTTTTTTTATATTTAAAACCACACAAAACATTACTACATTCGTTAAAACACACATTTGTGTTTGAACAAATGGGAAATACACGAAAATGAAATGTTTTGGTCAAGTTCTTTTTCAGTATGATTGGGTTAATTGTTTGTCTTACGTTTAGTACAACTAGAATATGACAACAGAATTGTTAAAATGACCATATTATTCTAAAAATTTGCTTAAATAATTTTATTATAAAAGACAGATTTAAAATATTATATACAAGATATATATTATACTGTAAAAGTTTATATAAATATGCATAATTTCATATTATAATATAAAATATTACATATATTATAATTTATATACATATATTATATTATAATTTATATATGGAGAAATGTTCAAATGAAAACGTTAACTATTTAAGGAAACAAGAAAAATATGGTTAATATACAAAATCGCATGTGATTGTACATTAACATCAAAAATATGGAAACAAACGACTTTTGAACCTGTATGACTTTATACATGAATACACACACACACACACACATATATATATATATATATGTGTGTGTGTGTGTGTTCATTAATTACAAATCATATGGAAATGCGTTCATTTTCATATATGATATATCATTTACAAAATTATGTTATGAGTTGACGGCAGGGAAAGACGAGGCATTCAATTTATTCATATTATTACATGTTAAAAATAAATGTATTAATTTTTGCTAACGAGAAACCTTTTTTACGAACTTCTTAATTCGTAAGATCCAATTTAGACCATATAAAATTTGTTAAAGAATAAAATATACTTTAGTGGAAATGGCTCGTCAGAAAGCAAAGATCTCTTGGCTAAACGAAGGGGATGGAAACTCTAAATTCTTTTTTCATGCTATGAAGGAAAAGCGCAATCGGAACTATATTGCCTCCATCAGGGATTCTTCTGGCACAGTTTATGATCATCAGGAGGTGGCCACTGCTTTCCTTTCCCATTTTCAAGGTATTCTTGGTACTTCTACTGTCTTGGTTCCTCCTTCTATGGGGGATTGTGTGTTTGATCGTTCTTTATCGTTATCGGATTCTCTGTACTTAATCCGTCCTATCTCGGATATGGAGATAAAGGATGCTTTGTTTGCTATTGGGAATGATAAGGCTCCAGGACCTGATGGGTATTCTTCTAAATTCTTTAAAGCAGCTTGGACTGTGGTTGGTCAGGATGTTCTCATTGGGATACACAATTTCTTCTATTCAGGCACTTTGGAGTATCAGATGAATCATACTCTTCTTTGCCTGGTTCCAAAGGTTCCTAATGCTTCTAATGTTACTGATTATCGGCCAATTGCATGTTGTAATGTGCTGTTGAAGTGTATTAGTAAGGTTATTGCTGATCGGATGAAATGATCGTTGGATATTCTTGTTAGCAAGGCTCAATCTGCCTTCATTCCTGGGCGCCAAATAACTGATAATATCTTAATGGCGCATGAGCTGGTTGCTGGATATCAGCGTTCTGAAGGGGAACCAAGATGTGCTTTTAAAATTGATATTCG